CTTTACATCATCCCCCACAAACAGAAAAGGTGGGAGTCCCCCTCTGATGAGAGTCAAAAGGAGTCTGATGAGACGCCTGCAGCTTTAAGAGGGTGAAACACCATTAATGATTCAGCTGCTCATTCATTTTCTTTTCTCTGAAATTTTGAAAGAGCTACATGGAGGATAAACAGATATTGTATGTTTCAATTTAAATGAATTAATAAAAGCTAAAATAAACAATACAGAAAATAATTTTATTTATTTTGTTACTTTCTTAAAAAATGTGTACGGTATATTTGTAACAAATAAATAACATGGTTAACAGCCTGATTCAAAATGACCATAGCAAATTCACTGCCTATAAATGGCAGTAACTTAGTACATTTTACAGATAATGACCCAAACTTTAGTGTGGTAATGCCTGAGAATTGCCAATAGATAGATTGAGTTATAACAAACTCTGCAAGATCTTTATTTAAAAATTTAGTAAGCAAGGCAGCAGGCGGTATGTATTTATTTAAGGAATATTATATATTATTTTATTACTTCTGCAAACAGCATACTTTAGATGAATTATTTTCTTTCAGGTAATGRTCCTGCCAAGCTGCTGCAGGTATGTAATCAATTCTGTGTTAGATTATGTGAAAACTATTCATCTGAAGAAATAAATACCAAATAGGTTAAAAAAAACATTTTTTTGCTTGCAAATTCATTAAACTTTTATTTGAAACTGTGAGTGGATTCATTGTCCCTGGAAGAGGATGCACTGTTGGTGGAGGGTTTTCCCTCATTTTACGTGTTCTGTTTGTTTATGACTGTAAAAGCCAGGACTGTTGATTTCATTTCTGTCTGCCAGCTGTGCAGACAGCAGTGTCTTCACTTTAACACTCAGTTCAGTGAGATTAATAACACACAATAAAAGTGATCTGAGGACACTCTGTAGAAACAGTAAACAGATCAATTCAAATCCATCTACAATAATTTAAAAAAACTAAACTCAATAAACATTGCCAGTAGAACAATATTGTTTTTTTTTATCTACGTGTGTGTGTGTGTGTGTGTGTGTGTGTGTGTGTGTGTGTGTGTGTGTGTG